AAAAAAAAAAAAAAAAAAAAAAAAGCAACACCTGATGGAGATGGGAGGTCCCAAAAAGAGGACATGTCTAGGAAAACACGAATGTATGGTAACCCTAAGCACCACCTGCTACCCAAGCAGGAGTACAACACCCTGCAGGGAGTGTTTTCTCAGCCGTGGGCTGCTGTTGTGTCCCAGACTGGATATAATACTGCTGGGTAGCAGTGAGGCTTCTTTGGGGATCCATGCTGGAATGGGGGAAGTGGGGCTGGCAGAGGGGAAGGCCTTTTATTGACAACCAACCCTTTTATTTTATATATTAGTAAAAACTTGTATCAGTAAAAAAAAAAAAAAGTTTGGCTGTTAGTAAAAAGTCAGAATTTTTTTCTTTGGTTGGCAACCCTGCAGTTGAGTAACTGCATGTTCTCGGTGTCACTGGAGAAGGTCCTCTGCTGTAAATTGTTTGTAGAATTGGGGCCTTAACTTGTAATACTTTTTAGATATTTATTTGCAATCGTAAGCAAAGCATTCTACCCAGACAGTAAATAGATATTTAAGTTAAGTGCTGGGAGGTTTTACAGGAATAACAGCTATAATTGGGATTTGGGCATCATATTCTTTCTAAATATCCTTTTTCAGATTTTTTAAAAATTCTTAGAGTTATAACAAATGCTCCTGTTTATTTTGGTGGGGGGGGGTGTTTCTCTTCTATGAAAGCAGAAAAGCAAATGGGGAGGAAGAAAATTCTCTACTCGAATGTAAGCTTGAGTTGTGAAAGCAGAGATTTTCCTAGTGGCTTTTTTCTTTCAAAACAGCAATGTCCTGTTCAATTTAAAAAACAACGCACATTTCATTCTTAAAAAGAAGAAACTTTATTTTAAAATGTTTCAAATGTGGTTGTGCATAAAACAAACAATTTTCCATGTGGAAGTTAATAATATGTTTCATAGAATGGCTTTGTTGTGTCCTGTCTCCCTAAATTAGGGATTGTGTGCATCTAATAGCAGGGTTGGAACTTAAGTGTGATATTTATGCAGCTACTGATTGAACAGTCTATGAACTTTTTCCATCTAGAATCCAAATGCTGTCTTTTTACATACAGAAAAGTTATATTTATATACCTCGTACATTTCTCACGGTAGAAAATTGTGTTGCGAAGAGATGTGATCGTATCAATTTAAAAATTCTAAGCAGCCTTTCACTTGTAATGCTCTTGTCTTAGCTCATCTGCCTTACTTGAGTTATTCTCATGTTATGCTCTCTTGCTTTTCCAGGAAAGCGTTGCAACATATGCCACCACTGTCCCTGACAGCTGCTTCTACAGACTTTTCAAGTTTTTTGTCTCCCAGTGTGCTGGAGGAAGTAGATAGCTTTCTTATAAGAATAACCAGGTATGAGCACATTTGGCTTAATATGTACAGTGGGAAAATATAAAGTAACTGAAACCGTTAAAAAAAATCTTAATTTTTATTGTATTTTGTATACTCTTGTCGTGTTTATTCATACCTTGAAAAATTCAGAAGTAAATGTGAAGAAGTGGTTCCTCAGGTCCACTGGGTCAGTTTAATAGGCTAGGGTCAGACATTACATATAAGCCAGTTTAAGTGATCAGAAACTGGTTTAAACCTGTAACAGAACATAAGTTCAGTGTGCATAAACCATTTTCAAAATGGCTGAAACTGGTTTAAGATAAACCTGGTTGCATGTAGTATCAGACTTGACTGATTTGGGTCAAACCGGTTTCATTCAATGTCTGTTCAACCAGAGTTCCCCAGCATCCCAGATGCTTTGCAGCCCTGGGCGAGGTTGGGCTAGGCTGTGCTCTTTGATCCAGAGAACAGGGCTGGTCCCACCCCTCTTCTCCCTAGCCAGAGCAGGCAGAGCAGGGTCTGCCTGGCTTCCCGCACTGCTCAAGCAGGGATCTCCCCTTCCTCCCACCATTCCTTCCTCCCATCTCCCGCAGCACAAACCCCAGCCCTATGGACCTTAGGCATGTGGTATGCTAGCTAATGTTCAGAGGAGTGTGTGTGTGTCTCCAATTTCACTGGGACAAGCAGACAACAGTGTCCGTTTAGGGCTTTTTGGAGCTAACCAACAGGTCAGCTGGTAATGTCCCTCCCTTCCTTCCTTAGAAGAAGCTGTTTAAGAAGGATTTGAACTTATGAGACAGGCTTTTGTTTTGCTGATGGGCTGATAACACTGTGGTTTTATCACCCCCCGGCTGGTTTGCAGACACTGAGGTTTTCAGTCCCCCTCTCATTATCATCAACTGATGCATGCACTGCACCCCCC